TGTCATACACCAAAAGTCTGTTACTTAGTTGTTATCTTTCAGTAAAAAATATCCAAATTAAAATGATCATCTTTCATGATCATGTGGCAAGTGAGGTGACAGGCATTCATCAATCTTTTTTATTGAGTTCTTTTATTAGATTGCTTTAGATCACAAGTGTCAAAGTCAAGGCCCGCGGGCCAAATCCGACCCGCGAATGAATTTTACATGGCCCGTTGCCTGCCATTGACAGGCTATTAAGTCAATTGCGTTTTCCACTATTTTCATGTTCCCAGATGTCTATTATATCTAATATGTATGGGGATAAGCTTGAGAGCATATTGAATCGAGCCAGCAGGTGGCAGCAGCGCTCTCTGAATGGTTTGAAAACAGCTAGATGCACTTGTTGTGCCTCTTTTTTTCTCAGCTTTTTGGTGATTTCAGTAAAACTTCCCTCTACTCAACTGGGGATTACAAGCTAGAAACAAAATTCTTTTTGCTGATGAAAGTAGACAGTCTATTCTTTCAGAATCTGGTTTCAGATTTCAGATAGTCATAGTACACAATATTCTGTGGGTCTTGAAAAATCTATAAAAATCATCAGAAACTGCTGGCAAAATGGGAGTACCTGTTCTGAAATAGGCTGGCAGGCAATGAGTTAATAAACATTGAACCAGTCCGGCCCTCGGCTCGCAGCAAATTTATTTTTTTGGCCCTCTGATGTATTTGACTTTGACATGCCTGCTTTAGATGTATAATGAGATTCTTAATGTTGAAAGTTTATATTGACTGAGAGGTATGTAAGGGATAATGTATAGTAGGCAGGTCATTATTACCTTTGGGCGGAAGCAGACCCCTCCGCTGCGTGTCTGGGTTCGCTTTGCCCTGTCGGTACTTATTTTTCGATAATGACCTGCCTACTATACGTTATCCCGCTAACTATATGGCTTTGTACCAACAGAACACACAAAATAAACTTCTGTCCACTTTTATGAAGGCTGACAACTAGAACGCTCTCGAACTGCATGAAAACTGAACAAAGAATTCTGAACATCAGCGGTGAGTGACCCATACATAATTCAATCCTCTGCAAATGTGTACTTCCGGGTTAATCGTGATCGCTTTTTCTCGCATTAACACGGTATTTTTGTCATGAAAACGTTAACAGATAATTCTGAAAACCTCTGTGCATGTGTATCAAGAATGTATATGTTGTTGTCAAAAAAGATTTGACTGACGTGTTCAGAATTTGATACAGAAATAAGGCCAAGAATGCAGGAGTTAAAAATAGAACATTTAATTCTCTTTACAATTAAATATTGATACAAAACTCTTGGAGCCATTAATTCTCTAAAACTAACCCTCTGCTGAGCCATTCTAAACTTTCCCTCCAGGCCTGAAAAATGTGCAGGGGACATCCAGGCGCTCTGCGATGTTCCCTGTCTAACTATCCCTGCTCAGACTGCTCAAAATGTCCTACCCCCAGTTTTATCAACATGTCCGATGACGTCACATGGTCTGAGACTGGTCTCTGGTCTGGTCTCTGGTCTGGATTTTGGTCTTGGTTTTGGTCTTCCTTATCAGTCTTAGCAAACAAGGCCCCCACCTCTGCGGCGCCTGATTGTGTTGGACTTTGCTCATCTTGTGTCCTTGTGACTTAAGACCTGAGGGCACAGGTCTTTTTGGTATTTGCGTTTGTTGAGCGTGGCTAGCTCCGATAGCTTCTCTTGCAGAGACATTAGTAGCGACGAAGTGGCCGGACTACTTGCGGAGTAATCTTCAGATCTGAATTACAAGCAGAGGTTGCTTTGCCACAGGCAGCGGCCATAATTGTTTTGAGAGGTCGGTTATCAAGAAATAATGACCGGTAGAACATTTTGAAATTACATTCAAATCAATGGAGCGTTCTACTGCGGCTGTGAGGAGCCGAATAATAGGACTATATAGAGTATATTTGATTTTCTATTTTATCTCCTTTCACCTCTTTTTTCACTATTTTTGATTAGATTTGGAGTTTAGTTGCGTCACAGCGGCTCTTTGTGTCCCGCATGTCTGCATTTCCTTCAGCTCAGATATAAGAGTGTTTTAAAGCGTTCCTGCTCCGGAGATGGCTTCCATGACAACCCCACAAATATTTATGCGCTACCTGCCACTGGCCCTGTGCCCAGCCCCTGTTTTCAAGAGCCCTTTTGGATCTTGGCTGATGTGTCTTTGAAGAGAAGTGCTTTACAAATAGATTTTTCAATATGTCAGATCTGAGGTTTTGAGGGTTGTCAGCCTGGAATGTCACGATATCAAAATGTCTTGTGGGAGAAATGATTAGATCTAGTGCTACATTTTCTGTAACCTCAACCTTGTTACAACTTTGTTCTTCATCCAAAACCGAGCTGGAGTTGTTTTTACCTTCTTCCATGCTAATATCAGGAATGTTTGGGATAACCAGCCAAAACCTGCTCACTAGGGCTGGGTGACCTGGGAAAAAAATGAATTACTATGTTTGTATTCTTATATTGGTCCCTTCCAGATTGTTTAAAAAAAAAAACATCAATATCAATTTAGAACAAACTAATGGTATAACTAAAACTTTCACTTTTAATTCAGGTGTTGATTTTCACAATCTAAGGGTGTATTCAGACCTGAAAAGTCCTTTGCTCCGCTTGCTTGATCCGAATCAAAAGCGGACCAAACATTTTTCTTTTGCTCCGGTTCGTATTCAGACTGTCCTTTTTGCAAGTGAACTTTTTTATATAAACATATGGACACGTGTGACGATCGGCGCTCCTATTGGACAGCAAGAGCTCACGGAGAATAGACACGGAACCGGCAGAAAACATTGAGGGCTCGTATGTGCAGCATGTCTGCTCTGCCCTTGTTTGCTCTTTTTAGAGCAAAACCACCTTCAACAGCAGCTCATATGACACAGACAGTATTCGGCCCCCTTGAACCTTTCAACATTTCGCCACATTTCAGGCTTCAAACATAAAGATATAAAAATTAAATGTTTTGTCATGAATCAACAACAAGTGGGACACAATCGTGAAGTGGAACAAAATGTATTGGATAATTTTAACTTTTTTTAACAAATAAAAAACCTCCAACGATCCAAAACATAAAGCCAAATCTACAATGGATTGGTTCACAAATAGACGTATCCAGGTGTTAGAATGGCCAAGTCAAAGTCCAGACCTGAATCCAATCGAGAATCTGTGGAAAGAGCTGAAGACTGCTGTTCACAAACGCTCTCCATCCAACATCACTGAGCTCGAGCTGTTTTGCAAGGAAGAATGGGCAAGAATTCCAGTCTCTCAATGTGCAAAACTGATAGAGACATACCCCACGCGACTTGCAGCTGTAATTGCAGCAAAAGGTGGCGCTACAAAGTATTAGCGCAAGGGGGCCGAATAATATTGCACTCCCCACTTTTCAGTTTTTTATTTGTTAAAAAAGTTTAAATTATCCAATAAATTTAGTTCCACTTCACGATTGTGTCCCACTTGTTGTTGATTCTTGACACAAAATTTAATTTTTATATCTTTATGTTTGAAGCCTGAAATGTGGCGAAATGTTGAAAGGTTCAAGGGGGCCGAATACTTTCGCAAGGCACTGTAGCTCAGTCCTGGTTCAGTCCTGGTTCAGTCCTGGTTCAGTCCTGGTTCAGTCCTGGCTGAGTCCTAGTTCAGTCCTGGTTGTCCTGGCTCAGTCCTTGCTCAGTCCTGGTTCAGTCTTGGTTCAGTCCTGGCTCAGTCCTAGTTCAGTCCTGGTTGTCCTGCCTTAGTCCTGGCTCAGTCCTAGCTCAGTCCTGGCTCAGTCCTAGTTCAGTCCTGGTTGTCCTGGCTAAGTCCTGGCTCAGAACTGGTTCACAGCAGCTCACTGCTTTATTTACTAAACATGATGGAAGTGCATCATTCTTGCCGCTTCGCCGCTCATCGCACATGTATTTTCCGCCCGTTGCATAGTGTCTGCCTCAGTCTCAAACAGGACTCTGTAGAGAGTTATGTATCTGTGAAAACTGACTATTTTTGAACGCATTAAAGATCAAACCAGAGCTTAGACTCTCATCTGTCCATAGGTTTATAATATCACTTTACTGCCCATCATACGTCACTTTACTTCACTGTACTGCTGTCACCTTACATTGTGTGCACCATGTGCACTTGTATATGTATGTATATACACTTGTATATAGTAATTGTAACTCTATTTTAAATTTATTTCTTAGAAGTGTTTTTTATTCTTTATTTTTTATTATGCCCTCTCTACCCTTACCTCTCTTTCTGACTGTTGCAGCGAGGCAAAGCAATTTCCAACTCTGTGACTTCCTGTTACTTACGTGGCAATAAAAATGATTCTGATTCTGAGGTTAAACTTATCTGTTCATACCTCTACTTTGAGCCCGTTTTTCATTCTCTTCTTTTCTTCTGTGTTTATTGGCTGCACCTGACGGCTTGGACTGCCTATTCATAATAAAGTTGACCAAAAACACGTCCATCTATCTTTCAACCTTTCTGGGATGCGCAAGGCTGCCCCTCCCCCACCTACTCGACCTTGGCGTGACAAGAGTGCAGCCTACAGCAGTAGGGTTCAATGATTTTATTTAAGTTTATTGTATACATAAATTGTTTTTTAAATCTTAGCAGAATAATAAAAAAGGAAACTCTTTTTATTTTTTTATTCTAAGACTACAATTTTGTGCCCCATCCTGCAGATGGCGCCCCAGGCGACTGCCTGAGTTGCCTATGCTCTGGGCCAGCCCTGCCAGGACCGTTCGGCGGAGCTGGAGGGATTCTATTGGGAACTGGGGGATGTCATTTAATCAGGGTCAGAAGAGGAGTTACTAATCTCATTATCATTTGAAAGTAAAAAACACATTTTTTGCTAATGAATAGCTTCAGACAACCATAAACAATGAGTGAACAAACGTTTGCATTATCACTCATAAACTTTAATTTAATTATTTAAGCTTCTCTTTTGCAATTTCTTGATTTATCTTAGTGAATCGTTGTTTTTCTGTTTTTGTTCAGACGATGGTAAACTTTTCCATGGCAGCGGAGTGGGAGATGCATTTGGACCTCGTTGCTTTAAAGGCGACATCATGGGCTGCGGCATCATGTTCCCTCGAGACTATATCCTGCAAGAGCATGGTGAGTGTTCCTCGGAGCTATGACCTCACAACTTCACAACTGGAATCATAGGGATCCTGGAGTATATGTGCAGAGCACTCTTGTCTTAGTATATATAGGTAAAATCCTCCAGCTCCAGCAGTCCTGATCAAGCAGAGTACCAACCTCTGGAGATGGGTCCCAGGGCGCTGTTCTACGGTGACTACTTCTCCTGACGGAAGCCTTAGTGGCATCAGGATGGGTCAAATGCAGAGGACAAATTTCCCTACGGGGACATTAAAGTGCACATTTACATTTACATATGGAGGCTGTGACTGCTCTCTCCTCAGTATACATGCAGGCTCTGACTGCTCTGGTTTCAGTATACAGTGGGGCAAAAAGTATTTAGTCAGCCACTTATTGTGCATGTCCTTCCACTTAAACTAGCATTATAATTAGAATGGCATGTCAAGTCATCATTAAATGACAAAAGGCATTACTAGAATACTCTTTTCGTATACCTCTGATAAAAGTAGTTAAGCCGGGATATGCAATTTTCAAAATTGAATTAACAGCTCGTAAATCTTGTTATTGTTTTCATTCTGCCCTCACTGTAGTATGGGATACAGCTATGCAGATAGATAAACTCCAATTGACAGGTGAAATGTTTTCTGTAATAAGAAAGTCTTCAATTACTGAAAGAGTGAAACTACAAACAGAAAGAAATACACACATTTAGACTGTATACAGATGTAATACAACACATGAGATGGCCTAAACTAGTTTACACAGACAAACACTTAATTCGACAAAGTATCACTTTTTATTTTGAATATTATCAAATAACCACAAATATAGCCATAAAGACTCTTAAATAAACTTATATACTCACAAGCAATGCTTTCTGTAAAAGAACAACAAAAGAAGGATGAAGATAACATTGAACAACTTTCTCACTGTGTATTTTCTGCTTTCTCTCTTAACCAATTAAAGGCACAAAAAGAGGCACAGAATGGAGCGTAGCGCTCCTGCAGGAGGGTGAAACAACACCACCAGCACGCCGCCCTCCACCGTTTCACCAGTCAGAAATTCTGTGATCCAGGTTGCCAGAACTTCCTACGTTGAGCTAATCTGACTGTCAAAATAACATGTCAGGCCGCTGTACTAAAAAAAGTCTTATGTTTTTCAAATCATTAATGACTAAACAAGGAATCGAACGGGGATTTCTATCGTTAGTTAATTAGTTAGATACTTTATTGGTCCCTGTAGGAGAAATTCAACTGTCCAGTAGCAGCAAAAACACATCCATCCATACAAACAAAACAAATGAAATGATTATTCTAAAAAGCTAACAATAGTAATAATGAGCAACAGCACTTCAGGTCACAGCAGCAGAGATGGAGTAGCCTCTGGGTGGAGCAGGACAGGTCACAGCAGCAGAAGTGGACTGTCCGCTGGGTGGAGCAGGACGGGTCACAGCAGCAGTGGAGGTGTAGCCTCTGGATGGAGCAGGACTGTTCACAGCTACTACACTCACTCTACACAAATCTGGCCTATGGCACAAAGAAAGCCATTATTGAAAGGAGGCCAGAAGAAATTCAGTTTGAATTTTGCCAGAAGTAATTGAAATTTGCATATCCCAGCTTAACTACTTTTATTTGAAAAGAGCTTTGTTTAGTAATGCCTTTTGACATATTAGGGCCATTTAATAATGACCTGACATGCCACTCTAACACATTGCTACTTTAAGTGGGAGGTCTTGCACAAAAACAGCTACCATATGGAAAAAGTTGCTTAGGTCAGATGAGACAAAAAATGTACGTATTGGCCTAAACAATATGTATGGCGTAAACCAAACACTGCTCATTGTCCTGAGTGCATCATCCCCAGTGTCAAATATTGTGCTATGGGGCTGCTTTTCTTCAACGGGGACTCGGAAATTTGTAAGAATTGCTGGGAATATTGATGGAATACAGGGACTCTAGCATCAGCAAAAGAATTGGGGCAAAGATTTACCTTCCAGCTGGACAATGGCAGAATTTGGTTCATGCGGGTCCAAGCAAAGACGCGCGCAACCGTGGAGCGCTGCGCGGGTCTGATCAGAGGAAGATGGTTCTGGGACATGCAGGGGGTACGCTCTTGCACCCCCAGGTACAAGTGTGCCCCATGATCCTGCCTCCTGTACAGCTCAGAAAGGCTCTCATTCAACCATTTTGAAATAATTATCACATAAATAATTTGAAGATAATTTTATTTCTTAATTTTTCCTTTTGGATGCTTTGGTCTGGCGGTTCTCCCCCTGGGCTGCTGAGCACTTCTTCTATGAGCTGCTAAGCGCCTTTTTGTTTCCATATAAGGTCGCTAAAACATTTTTTTTCACCTGTAGGCATAAATTAATAAATTCGAACTATTGGCCCAATATATCTGTCAACTGTTTGACATAATATACTGTAGAGTATGTTTCTTTTCAAACAAACATGAATAAACTCACCTCTTCAGGAGTGCGTGTTACAGGCCCTACGCTGATTACAGATGGTGTCATCTCTTTCCATATTCTGTTTTTTGAGTCCCCTTGATGCCACTTTTGAGGCTTAAAAATAATAAGACTTTTTTTCCCACTTTGTTCATAATGGTCTGAATCTCCTTCTCCGTGAAGTTATTTTTGCTTGGCCGTTTCCTCTCAATTGTTGTAAAAACGGGGCGTGAAACAGGCAGTTGCTGCATATTTATAGACGTGACTTTCATAATTACGTTCGTTTTAAGCGGCATTTACCAACAGCCGCAGGTGCTTACCCTTGGATCTTGCAAATTTGGAATATACACCCAAAATGTACACCCTTTTCTGCGTTTTCATAAATGAGGGCCAATGACCCTAAACACAAAGCAAAATCTACAATGGATTGGTTTAAAAAAAAAACACAATGTGTTGGAATGGCCCAGACAAAGTCCAGACCTAAATCCAGTAGAATATCTGTGGAAAGACCTGAAAACTGCTAAATCTTAAATGATAGAGCTCGAGTTGTGCAAATCTAGATGTGCAAATCTTGTAGAGTCATACCCCAAAAGACTTGCAACTGTTATTGCAACAAAGCAGCATTAACTCAGTCTATGAATACTTTTCAATTTTCTATTTGAAAAATAAAGATTTATATCATTTCACTTCACAGTTGTCTGTTTCTTTTGGGTAAACTTGCAATAAACAATTCAAAATAAAATCATTATGTTTAAGGTTTCGACAGGGGCTGTATATCTCTGGCTTGTTCTACCCACAATACCCTATCCTCAGCGTTGCCTTCCGGCTGTTCCAAAAACAAAACGTTAGCTGCACAGTTGCACATATCTCCGCCATGCATCTGGAAGGTTTGCAGAATACCAATCTTTCTGTAGTGTAGAAAGATTGTCATGGCGCCCCTTTCACACTTGTACAGGGCATCACAGTGAACAAGTGTGCAGTGAAAGTAGTCGCAAACCTCTTTCATGTTTGATAAAAATTTTAATGCATTGGCTTTATATAGCGCTTTTTTGGACACTCAAAGACACTTTACATGTCATTATTCTTTCACTCCATACACGGTGGTGATGAACTACTACTGTAGCCACAGCTGCCCTGGGGCACACTGACAGAAGCGAGGCAACCAGTATGTGCCATCGGCCCTTCCGACCACCACCAACCATTCACACACACACCAGACTCATTCTAGGCAATGGGGGTGAAGTGTCTTGCCTAAGGACACAACGGCAGTTTGGCACTTAACAGCCGCCCCACTGTTGCACCAGGTGTTCCCAAAGGTTAAGTGTCTTGCCAAGGACATAACGACAGCAGACAGCGGGAGTCGATGGTGAAAGTCTTGAGGTGGGCTCGAACCCATGACCGTCACTGGCTCAAAGGCCAATGCTCTACCAACTGAGCTACTGTTGCCCTGATTTTTTTTAAAGATTTAAAAACAATGACGTTTAGAATGAGCCACCCGCTGTTAATGAGTGTCGGGCTCAGTGTTAATACTTATAAACAGCTGCAGTACATTCAAAATGCAGCAGCTCCAGTCATTAGTCCAGTTCTCAGGTCTCTGCACTGGCTTCCTGTAGCTCAGAGAATAGACTTGCAGCTCTTATTTATGATTTTAATGCTCTCTTATTTTGTTCAGCACTTTGAGTTGCCTTGTGTATGAAATTGTGATATACAAATAAACTTGCCTTGCCATTAGCGTTATTTCAAAATAATGTATTACAATACAACAATACGGTATCTGAATTGTTATACATTACACTACTACTTCATTACTTTTAAGGTAAAGGAGCACTGTGTAAAAATCTGGCCAAACGTGGTACTGCAGTCAGTCAATATTTTGTAGTCCTCTCCCACTCTCCCTGACTCAGGTTGCCAGATACACACCAAATCCAGCAGCAAACACTGGGAATTATTTTATCAGTTGTTTGTCTGTCTCCATTCACATTGCCATGATAGCCGTGTTAATGTTGAATGAATGTTTTGATTAATGTTTTTTTATTATTATTATTTGGACATTTGAGATAAAAAACAAAATAAAAACAATGTAATTATACATAGATTATGTCCAAAATAGGAGTGGGAAGAATGGATGTTGGAACATATTTCTTCAGCGTATCAACATCAGGGTTTCCTCCAGAGGACATCACCCTTCAATTTTATTTATTCCCTATTTTTAGACATACATGTATAAGCCCCACATCAAAAAGAGACTAACATTTTAATTGGGGTACATGTGGTCTCAAATGATTATTTTTACAATTAAGCTATAATCTGTGAAAAACATCATGATCTTAGTTTTTGACCGTTGTTTGAGCGATTTGTCAAAAAATGTGATGTTTTGCAATTAAATTCAAGTGGATTCTCCTCGGACTCGAACCCGGGTCACCGGGGTGAGAGCGCAACGGGCTAACCACTACACCATTGTCATACACGATAGCTGCCATTAGATGCAGAATGTCAAAGCAGTAAGTTTTCCATCACACAAAAAGTTTTATCCGCTGTCTCAATTTTTCAAAGGCGTCGCAATATAAATCCTCATTTTAGTCTTTGTTTTGTCATTAATAATTTGAGAATTATAACAAGACCTTTTTTAGTTCTGCGGCCACAAGTTATTTAACCATTGAGATTAGCCGCACGGAGTTCTGGCAACCCGATCAGGGACTTCCATGGGACTTCCATGGGACTTCCTGATTCGCGAAGAGGGGGAGGGCAGGACAGAAAAATGAAAACGATAACAACTTTTACAGGTCGTGAAACTAATTTTGATATTCAAATATCTCGGCTGAACTACTGTTATCAGTTAAAGATGTATTCGAAAAGAGCATGATTTAATAATGCCTTTTGAAATATTGGGGCCATTTAATGATGACTTGACATACAAATATTACATACTGCTGCTTTAATTTCTCCAAATTTATATAGTAAAAAAAAGGGATTAGGATTTAATCCTCTCAAGTTCAATTATTATATATTAATTTCAGTCTAATCATCAAAGGGGTTGTTTAACTTGGGGTAAACTGGTTAATCCTGGTTCAGCTTCAGTCCTGGCTCAGTCCTGGTTCTGTCTGCGTTGTCCTGGCTCAGTCTTGGCTGAGTCCTGGCTCAGTCCTGCATGGCTGAGTCCTGGCTCAGAACTGGTTCACAGCAGCTCACCGCTTTATTTACTAAACATGATGGAAGTGCATAATTCTTGCCGCTGTTTAAAACGTGTCGCGTCGCCGCTCATTGCGCACGTATTATGCGCCTGTTGACAAGTTTCTGCCTCTGTCTCAAACAGGACTCTGTTTGAGCAGGGGGGCCCAAGCTTTTCTGATCCAATGTCTACTTTTTAATTAGCAAACCTCCAAAGGTCTACCAGTCCAGCGTCAACATTAAAACCCCACAGTTAAAGCCGTTAAACACAACTTCTTCACACAACCATTAGACATCAGATTACTTTTTATTTTTAACTCTTTGTTTTTGTGTAAGATTGTGAGGAGCAAACACAATCTGCATTATGAGCAATAGCTAACTAACTGACCATATTATGAACCAAGCAGAAAAATGAACCAGTTCAAAACCAGGTAACAGAAATGTTGCGCCTGTAACTACAGTTGTATGAATTGGACATCCAAAAGCAGTGCACCACTGAATATTCAAACATAAAGCCCCTGCTCTGGTGGACAGGAGTAAATAAATAGAACTGACAAAAGGAAGATCTCTTCCTACCTTAGTGAGAGACTTGACACCGGGAGGAGGCTAGTCTCTCATAGTCCGGCGTATAGGAGGTTGTTAGCCAGATCTATAGCATGGCTGAGGGGAAACGAGCCAAAACGTATCATTTTCATCCTCAAAGCCTGTTTGTCTGATCTGCAATGTGACGGTGGCATTGGCAAAGAAAGCGAACCCGGAGCGTCATTTTCGAACGGTACACACGAACTATGGCTCTCATAGCTCATAGCACCGACTCCCCTTGACAAGAGTGCAGCCGACAGCGGCAGGGTTCAATGATGACAATTTTTATTGAGTTTATAGTATACATTTTTTTTCAATCCGGGGATGGGAAAAAAAAATTATTTATTTTTTTAAGACTGCAATTTTGCGCCCCATCCTGGTCGCCTGGGGCACCTTTGCCCTGGGTTGGCCTTGGGTGTAGGTACTCCTGTCTAATCCATTTCCAGTAAGTGACATGACCCGGGACATGAGGCATATGATAATGATAATGTAACAAATGTCATCCTAACTGATTACGCTTGCCAATGGTACCGTTTTAAAAAGTCTTGACTTTGCAAATTTAAATGATCTCCCGTCCAAACATGTCAGAAAAAATAGTGGCAGACATCATTGGGACAGGTTTAAAATGAGTGTGACCTAAGTCGTTCCATTTGAGTTCATTAGAGGATCTTATGTCCAATTTCCAGTGGCCATCATAAAAACAAGTACATTTTTCCATAAAAAGATTGAAACATTAGCATCTGGGGCCTTTCACTGGACATACACGAATGTGACTGGAATGCACTGTGTGGAACATAAAGTGTATTTATTGCAGTTCTCTGCTGAACTCTGTCCTCAGCTGAAGCAGACGACCTGGAGCCTGTCACTGTCCAAAACATTCTTTACATGAACGAAGAAGAAGAGGAGGTGGAAGAGCTCGAGCCAGGCCAGCAGCTCACCAGGGTCACAGTAAGTTCCTCACACATGGGATACACTAGAGCGGCATAAAGTCGAAAAAAAGGAGCTTTCAACCATGTTAACAACATCGTTTCCTCATCAGTCGCAGACCTGGAGTAGTTTTAACCCACTCTAAAAATCACAAATCAGGAACTTGTGTCACAAACAGTGTTGGGGAAGTTTTTAGTAACTTTTCTCCTTACTCGTAAAAAAGTAACCTGTTACTCTACTTAGTTACTCTCTAAAGAAAGAAACTATTTTACTTTTGCATGAATTTTGTGTTACTGTTATTATGCTTGACTTTGAGCAGAACTGTTCTTAAATGTGTTGTGGAAGTTCTACTATGAAGATCATAACAAATATTTATTTCATGCTATTTGTTTTGTATTGTGGGCGGCACGGTGGCTGAGTGGATAGCACTCTCGCTTCTCAGCAAGAAGGTCCTGGGTCGGAACAGGGACTTTCTGAGTGGAGTTTGCATGTTCTCCCCGTGTCTGCGTAGGTTTGCTCAGGGTACTCCGGTTTCACCTACCACTAAAAAAAAACCATGTACAATAGGTCTGGCATGCGCCTCCTGTATTGGCGACTCCGCTCCCATCTCTGTGTGGAGTGAGAGAACATATGCCCATAATTGTAAACCGCTTTGTGACTCTGGTCTGTGAAAAGCGGTATTTAAATAAAGATTACTTACTTACTTACTTACTTACTACTCTTTATGATAAAAAATGCCACAAAGCATGTAAAAAATGGGGTTGTTGTATTTCATGAACACTGCTATCACTCGAGGGAATAGGTTTAGGACCTCTAACTCTGAGCCTGACCTCATTTACCTCCCTCCAAGTACCTGCGCTAAAGGAAAAAAAGTCGGCCTCACTGGTGCTGCTGTGTCGCACTTTACCACTAGCGACCTCTAGCTTCACATACTCTGGAATGAGAACTGAGCGTGAGTTGAAACTGATGCGCAAGCAACAGCAGATGAATGGTCACAGCTGCCCATACTCTTTTTTCATGTTTTACAGTGAAGAACTCTCTACCACTAGGTGTTTCACCACTTAAGTTAATGTCTTTATCCTTTAAACACATGTTTCTGTGTATTCCTTAATTCAAGGAGTGGTACTTAACTTTATTTCCATAAATAATATTTTTCAATTGTCCAGACAAAGTCTTGTAAAAGTAAAAGGCTTTCAATAAATCAGGCCATGATGTACTAATGTCATCTGGAAAACATGTTATCTTTTGCATATCACTATTTTACTTTTTGGACTGAGTGAAGTTAATTAACTGATCAAATTGAATATTGTAATTGTAATGGAATGATTAAAAATACAATTTTGATACATTTTTAGATGGGCTACACCCTCCCCCACTGAAAATAGAATGCTCCCCATATCTACACTCAACAAAAATATAAACGCAACATTTTTGTTTTTGCTCCCATTTTCCATGAGATGGACTTAAAGATCTAAAATACATTCCAGATACACAATATTACCATTTCTCTCAAACATTGTTCACAAATCTTTCTAAATGTGTGATAGTGAGCACTTCTGCTTTGCTGAGATAAAACATCCCACCTCACAGGTGTGCCACATCAAGATGCCGATCTGACATCATGATTAGTGCACAGGTGTGCCTTAAGCCTAGTGTATAGTCGCGCGGAGCTTACGGTGGTGACGTGACGTCACTTGCGCAACGCGTGGATCACCTTACCAAGGCCCTTACGTAGCCTGCCGCACACCCTCGAAAATGTCTAACGACGCAGCCGGCGCCGTAAGGAAGCTCCGCTGTGATTGGTCCGTGTGTGTGTTTTGGGCGGAAGCATGAAGCGGCTGCAGGGAACATGGACGAGGCACTTCGGAGCAGACTGATTCGTGCTTCGACGGAACCGAAGGAAAAGCAGTTTGGGTTCATAGCAGAGCCTGATATACAGGAGACTGTGGACTAGAATTCTGTTGCATATCCAGAATCAGAATCATGTTTATTGCCACGTAAGTAACAGGAGGTCACAGACTAGGAAATTGCTTTGGCTCAGTGCAACAGTCAGAAAGAGATAATAAAAATAAGAATAAAAAACACTTCTAAAGAATAAATTTAAATTTAAAATAGAGTTACAGTTACTATTTACAATATACAAGTGCACATGGTGCACACAATGTAAGGTGACAGCAGTACAGTGAAGTAAAGTGACGTATGATGGGCAGTAAAGTGACTTTATAAAGGGCGGGGGGACAGGCAAAGAAGTGTTCAAGAGTCCAACAGCAGAGGGGAAGAAACTGTTCTTGTGGCGGGAGGTTCTAGTCCTGATGGACCGCAGCCTCCTGCCTGAGGGGAGTGGTTGGAATAGTCCCATGTGCAGGGTGAGAGGGGTCGGCTGTGATACGACCAGCCCGGCCTCGAGCTCGGGCGACGTATAGGTCCTGCAGCGATGGAAGGCTGCGGCCGATCACTTCCTCTGCAGAGCGCACAATGCGCTGTAGTCTCTGTTTGTCCCTGACTGTGGCTCCAGCGAACCACACGGTGATGGAGGAGGTGAGGATGGACTCGATGATGGCCGTGTAGAACTGCACCAACATCTGTGCAGGCAGCTTGGCTTTCCTGAGCTGCCGCAGGAAGTACATCCTCTGCTGGGCCTTCTTGATGAGGGAGCTGATGGTCGGCTCCCACTTGAGGTCCTGGGTGATGGTGGTGCCCAGGAAACGGAAGGACTCCACAGAGATGATGGGGGAGTCCATCACGGAGGGTGGGGGCGGGGGGACAGTGCTCTTCTTGAAGTCCACAATCATCTCCACTGTCTTCTGGGCGTTCAGCTCCAGGTTGTTACCACTGCACCAGGACACCAGCCGGTTCACCTCCCTCCTGTAGGGGGGTCCAGGAGGGGGGAGGTGAAGGACTTGAGATGGGAGAGAACCAGGCGTTCAAATGACTTCATGACGACAGACGTAAGTGCTACAGGTCTGTAGTCGTTGAGTCCTGTGATCCTGGGCTTCTTCTGGACGGGGACAATGATGGAGGATTTGAAGCAGGCCGGGACATGGCAGGACTGCAGAGAGGTGTTGAAAATGTCAGTGAACACAGGAATAAGCTCACTGGCGCAGTATCTCAGAGTGGCCGGAGACACGTGGTCCGGGCCAGGAGCTTTGCGGGGGTGCAGCCTCAAGAAGAGTTGTTTAATCTCTTTAGAGGCTATTGTTAGGCTGGGGGCAGGGCTGATGGGTGGGTCGTTAGAGTAGTGGGGGGTGGGGGAGGGAGAGGTGTCAGGGGCAGCATCAAAGCGACTGAAAAATAAGTTCAGTTCGTCAGCTATCCATGATATCCAACATATAAGTTTGTGTAAGCTCTCAGTCGTACAGGGATTAGTCAAAGCAAAGAAAGTACAGATGATGGGTGAGAAACCTTCCTTTGCTTTATCCAACATATACAGTGCCTTGCGAAAGTATTCGGCCCCCTTGAACCTTTCGCCACATTTCAGGCTTCAAACATAAAGATGTGAAAATTAAATTTTTTGTCAAGAATCAACAACAAGTGGGACACAATTGTGAAGTGGAACAAAATTTATTGGATAATTTAAACTTTTTTAACAAATAAAAAACTGAAAAGTGGGGCGTGCAATATTATTCGGCCCCCTTGCGCTAATACTTTGTAGCGCCACCTTTTGCTGCAATTACAGCTGCAAGTCGCTTGGGGTATTTCTCTATCAGTTTTGCACATCTAGAGACTGGAATTCTTTCTCATTCTTCCTTGCAAAACAGCTCGAGCTCAGTGAGGTTGGATGGAGAGCGTTTGTGAACAGCAGTCTTCAGCTCTTTCCACAGATTCTCGATTGGATTCATAAAACATATCGTTTTGCATTGCGGCCAAAAAGTTCTATTTTGGTTTCATCTGACCAGAGCACCTTCTTCCACATGTTTGGTGTGTCTCCCAGGTGGCTTGTGGCAAACTTTAAACGAGACTTTTTATGGATATCTTTGAGAAATGGCTTTCTTCTTGCCACTCTTCCATAAAGGCCAGATTTGTGCAGTGCACGACTGATTGTTGTCCTATGGACAGACTCTCCCACCTCAGCTGTAGTTATCTGCAGTTCATCCAGAGTGATCATGGGCCTCTTGGCTGCATCTCTGATCAGTCTTCTCCTTGTTTGAGATGAAAGTTTGGAGGGACGGCCGGGTCTTTGCAGTGGTCTGATACTCCTTCCATTTCAATATAATTGCTTGCACAGTGCTCCTTGAGATGTTTAAAGCTTGGGAAATCTTTTTGTATCCAAATCCGGCTTTAAACTTCTCCACAACAGTATCTCGGACCTGCCTGGTGTGTTCCTTTGTCTTCATGGTTCACTCTGCGCTTTAAACAGAACCCTGAGACTATCAAAGAGCAGGTGCATTTATACGGAGACTTGATTACACACAGGTGCATTCTATTTATCGTCATCAGTCATTTAGGACAACATTGGATCATTCAAAGATCCTCACTGAACTTCTGGAGTGAGTTTGCTGCACTGAAAGTAAAGGGGCCGAATAATATTGCACGCCCCACTTTTCAGTGTTTTATTTGTTAAAAAAGTTTAAATTATCCAATAAATTTCGTTCCACTTCACGATTGTGTCCCACTTGTTGATTGTCAAGAAATAATGTGGCAAAATGTTGAAAGGTTCAAGGGGGCCGAATACTTTCGCAAGGCACTGTATAAAACTTATAAACTGTGCAGTCGTTACTTTTGCACTGTTCCTATCTTTGTTTGAATCTGCACTCGTAGCTTATCGCGTCTGTTCCATTCCTCCTGCACTTGTAAATAGTTACCACTTATTGTTTTGCTGTTTGTGCTGAATACACTTTAATAATAACTATATTTCCCACAAGAACTGTGTCTTTATTCACAACATCACAGTTAAATGAGTTGAAACGATAAGTCCATTGAACTGTCACATAAACCTACAGTACCTACAGTACAAACACATGTAATGAGCTCAAACAGCTCGGTTTGCCATTGTTTTTGTTCCTAAGAGGAGAAAGTAGCAG